TCACTTTTCTCTTTGTTGTGTGCCATACTGATTAAATATATAAATCACAAAACTGAAAAAATAAGTTTAGCTCAAACACTTGGAAAAGCAATGCTTAACTCGCACATGGCTAACAGCAACTAAAATTTGACACAAAAAACTGTTATGTTTGTTATCCAAATTTTGTCTGTTATCCGAGACAAAACTTTTGCAAAATAAAAGTTTGTTAACCGATTTGGTTGTTAACCAGGGCATTTGTTAACCGAGTTTCCACTGTAGTTAAAAATTGGTAAGGTGTGAACTCTGAATGAGGGATTTGTCACCTCTGCTAGAGTTATGGACTCCTCTGTATGAGTAAAAAAGTCAATGGAGCCATACTGTACATGTGACCCTTCAGAAGATATTCACCTCCATAGATCAGTTTTTACTATTACCGGTACTACTGCCTATTTTCAACATTCTGCATGTGTACTTTATGTGCTCTGGTACTCACACCTTGGCACCCATGCAGGGTGATCCCTCTCACTTCCTAAAACTATATAACATTGAGTATTCCACGAACAGTCAAGTGAGCTACTCAAAGTCAGTGTAGCCATGTGGCTAAATAGTTAAATATGATAGTACGATGTAACTCCCAAATGTGTGATATAGAACTAGGCTGATTTCAAGGGGAGCTGTATCTTAAAAAGGGTCACATTTATGGTTCGTTAGGATTATTTTGCTCCTATGAGTATGGTCTATGGCTCTGATAAGTTCCCAATCATCTCATTCCAAGGTATAAAAAAAATTAGAATACAAAGTAATAGTACATTCTACTATACTAGAGTGACTAGATGTCTCTGATTTTGCCTGTTTTTAACATCTGATTGTAGAATCAATCTTTGAATAAAGTAATTTTATTAACATGCCATTATATCATCATCAATTTGTAGATAAATAAATAAATAAATAAAAATTTGTCAGTTTTGTTTACACGTTTTTCGGGCCGCATTGGAACTTGCCTTGGGCCGCATGCGGCCCGCGGGCTGGACACCCCTGCATTAAATGTTCCCTTTTTTATTGCTTTTAACTGACTAACCCAGCATAATTCTGGGAACTTTCTGGGAACCTACCTACCTTGTATGTGAGACTAGTGATATGAAAAAAATTCAGATGGAAGAATTCACTCAACACAATTAACTTTATAGAAAGATGTTTGTTAACAGCAGGAATCTATTACATTATATTAAGAGACCAATTTACATTTATGTGTGCATTTTACTTCTGAGAGAGTTACAATTTGCATGAGTCAAGTCACAATACTTGTTAAACTTAATTGTACTTATCACACTGATAAAATCATAACAAACATTTCAGACAATAAAACTTAGTTCTTGATATAGTAGAGTATTTGATGATTAAAATTCTTGTATACTGGCACAATGAAGTGACCTTCTTTATCAACATTTGGCAAGTTTTCAATCTTTATTTAGTTAGAATGCCGTGCTACACATTTGCGTTTTGGGTATTCTCCCCTCTTCAGCTAACTCACCCCAATACAGACACCCAACTAGTACATCGCAGAACTTTAGACGACTTAAAGGTTTACCTGACGACTACCGTAAATGCCGTCTTTTTACACTTTTTTACAATGACACAATTGGTTTTCTTAATTTTTAACACGCAGACAAAGTAATTGATAAATAGTACTAATTAAAACTGTTACATAAAATCATGCCCTTCGTCTTAGTTCTTCCAAGCGCATCCTGTAGGCCATCTTTCCAACACTTGTGTTGGAAAGATGGCATGTGTAACGAAAATGCGAAACGCAAATGTGTAGCACGGCGTTCTAACTAAATAAAGATTGAAAACTTGCCAACTAGTTGGGTGTCTGTATCGGATTGAGTTAGCTGAAGAGGGGAGAATACCTGAAACGCAACACTTGTGTTGGAAAGATGTTGGAAAGTGTGATTTTGGAAGGGCATGATTTTATGTAACAGTTTTAATTAGTACTATATCAATTACTTTGTCTGCGTGTTAAAAATTAAGAAAACCGATTGTGTCATTGTAAAAAAGTGTAAAAAGACGGCATTTATGGTAGTCGTCAGGTAAACCTTTAGGTCGTCTAAAGTTCTGCTATGTACTAGTTGGGTGTCTGTATTGGAGTGAGTTAGCTGAAGAGGGGAGAATACCCAAAACGCAAATGTGTAGTACGGCATTCTAACTAAATAAAGATTGAAAACTTGCCAAGTGTTGATAAAGAAGGTCACTTCATTGTGCCAGTATACAAACATAAATAACAACACGGTTTCGATAACAACAACAACGATTAAAATTCTGTTAGTGCTAGACTCTCTTGAGGATGGATTGAAAGAGTCAAAAAGGAAGATCTACACAATTTAAAAAAACAGGCTGGTTTCATTGGATTGACACCTAATGAAACCAGCCAAAATTCTTAGATTCTTCCACAATATTCTTAGATGACATTGGCATATTAAGGGATTTAACTCATTACTATAATAGGGTTTAACTCACCCAGTGCAAATAATCTGATAACCATGATTTTTTTCTTTTTGTGGGTTATCAGATTCTTGCACTAGGCAACAGAATTGTAATTTAATTTTGCAATTTGTTTTATAATTTTGTTTGTTTTTAACAGAAAAGGAAGATGTTAAAATGTTGAATGTTCATGGAATCTTTTGAAAATTTTCTAAATAATATTGCCAAATAATCAATAAATTAAAATAATCTTTTTTTATTATACAAAGTTGTTAATATGTTTTAACCTCTTATTAATATTTATATTCCTTAATATAATAATAGCTTTCTTCACTACCGTATCAAATATTTCTAGTTTGTGGAAGTTGGTACTATTCAGCATTTGCCTTAGTTGAATTTCTGCTTATTATATTTAAAGGTTAGAAATAATTTCACATATTAATTTTAATAATGCATAATTTGTGACTTTTTGAACTTCATTAAAGGTGTCGTCTTTCCATATCCTAAAGGATACTTGGTATCAGAAATTGTTCTGTTGTTTCTAACTGCCATCTTAGAATATTGCAGGTTATTCCTAGGTAAGTTTTCATTTTCTAGTTATTTTAAAATATATAATTTAATAAATAATTCTAGTAAGAAATCAAATAATCAACAGTATAACTACATAAGAATGAAAGAATTTGCATTTTATCTAATAGTGTGTCAACAAGCAATCACTATTGTCCCTGTTGTTATTATAAGGGCAATTATATATTCTTTACTTGATGTATTTTTATCAGAGTTTGTTATAACAAAATGTTTTATAGTTACACATATTTGCATTTTCTTAATGAAAAAAAGTTCAGTAAGAAAAGTTATGTATTTTAACAATGAATTGAATGCAATATTTTTATGATTTTTAACTTCTTTACAAAAGATCTGATATTTGCTTAATTATAAATGAATTTCAATATTCTGAAAATGTTTCTGAATAAAATTATAGTCAACTTGCCATACTTTTTGCTTACAAGTTGCACTGTTGTATTGGACACATCATGGGTTTTCCCAAAAAACACAATAACTATCATTGCAGTAATCTGATGTCCCCAAAAAATGCATCCTATAAGGTGAAAATACAGTAATTAGTTTTTATTTTACCCTTAATTATTTTCTCATACTTTATTTTTTAGGAAAAATATTTTCTATATTATCTTTTTATAAAAACAAAAAATTCTTTATTTTAGGCAAAAAAGGAAATCTGACAGAAACATCATATCCTGTCATCTTATCCATTCTACTTACAGTTCCTGCCATACTTGGAGTGGTACATTTTTTAGAATGGCAAACTTATGTACTGAAATTGGATGTTATTCTCTGTGCCATCCAGCTAACAATCCATAGCTTTCAAACACTGTTTGCACTGTTTGTGATTATTAGATTTATGAGGTAATTCTTATCAACATATTTCTAAAATTGTAGTAGTAAGTAAAATGTACTTTTCAATTTAGGTCTACTCAAGTTACATAATGAAAAATCCTCAGGAAAAACCATTTTCTTGTCATCTGCATATCACATGGTAATTTAAAAAAAAGCAACCTCTGTAAATAGGCATTTGTAATGTATGGAAACGAAACTGTTGTACATAATTTTCATTTATGAAACATTAAAATGATGCAATAAACTATTTGTTAATTACAATTTTGAATCATTTTTTACCCGATCCTAGAATGAGAAATTTATTTTCAAAGTTGGATACACTAACTTTCCACAAATTACTATTCTGAGTTACAGTAGAGCGTCGTTTATCCAAAAGTTGGTTATCCGAAAGAATTCCAGTTGGCAAATTTAAATTTTTGCTAGGGCTGTGGCGCTGCAATCTTTGGGTATATCTTGGGCTACTCCAATATTATTTTGTTGGTGTGTTTTAGCTGACAGCATTGGCACTTTTGTGTGATGTTTATCTGAAAAGTGTGTGGTGCTGAATCAAACGTTTTTGATACTAGATGAACTTTTAAAGTATAATTTTTTTGTTTTTATATTTTTCAATATATTTATTTTGTTTGTAAAAAATAAGGAAATAATTTTTAACGATACAATAGCCACGATTATTTTAAAAAGTTTACATTAGGCTTAACATCGATGAAAATTCAACGTAAAGCGACACGCAACGGAAAAAAATTTCAACACAGGATAGGTTAATATATTTTTTCGTACATAATCGGTTATCCGAAAAATAAGTTATCCGAACAACCCCAGTCCCCAATTAATTCGGATAAACGATGCTCTACTGTAATTGTAACAAATTTCCTTATTCAATTCATTTAGTATCAATATACTATTAAACCTGATGATAGAACTAAATGTTTTACTTATTGTACTTGATAGAAAGCAATTATGTTATAATTCAAAAAAGAAATTTGAATGCATATGATTGTTATATACAGTCAATAATCAGATATAAATATTTCTCTTATATAAACCTACAAAATGATGTAATGGAAGTTATTTCAGTTTAGTATCTGCATTTTGATACTGCATATGTAAAGAAGAAAGAACACCATATAATTTGCTAGTCCGCTTTATTTACAATATCCATACATACTGTAACAATAACCGTTTATTTCTGTACAAGATACCCTTTTATCAATTATAAATAAAATGATAATAGTTTCATATAGTGCATGATTTTATACATCGAATTTTGATTTTCAAAAACTGATATGTTACATGGAAATCAATAACACCACATTATTATTTACATCTATAATTAAACTGAATCATTTGTGGAACTAATAGTATTTTGTAAACTAATAACATTATTTAGTTATTTAGTCAACTATACAGCTTTCTTTTTGTAAATATGAATAATAAAAATATCCAGATACGCACAGTCCAAGTACCCATGTGACAATTGAGCAGATGCAAACCTTGCAATCTGAAAATATCAAAGTTATCTATTCCAAAATTTCGTTAAATTGGCTTTACCAAACCATTCAAAGTTTTAAATGGACAATATTGGCTGGAAAGCCCAGAATATTTAAAATATAATTTATATTTTAAACAGCAAGAAGCACATTTAATTCTTATGCACTTATTGATAAGCAACACACATATATCTTATGTTTAACTTTCATATTGGAAAGCTGACAATTTGTACTCAAGAAACAATTATTACATTCTTCACTTGACATACCATTCTATTTGGTGATATTATTATATGGAAAGAATATTTGTTTATGGCTGAAAAATCACCACTTTAAAAAGCATTCATACAAAAGAATCTTAGCAAATAATTATAGTTATTTTTTTATAATTACTGCATATTTAGTGCATTAGTAAAAAAGTTATCTAGAACAATAACTGTTTCACTGCTTGAAAATTCATTTAAAATAAAGGAAAATATATTAGTATGCCACAATTTAACATTGAAATTTATAGCCCCAACAAGAAAACTACAGAAATTAATTTCTGGTTAACATTTAGACTACAGAAAAAGTTTATTAATCCTATTGGCTTCAATAAATTCAATAATTGGTGTTTGACTATTTGGGATTGATAAGATAAATTTCAGACTGACAAACATAAATTACTATACTACTTTATATCATTTAAATATATAGATATATGTATATTAGTAATGAATCTTCTTATTTAAAAATGGACAACTTGGCACGGGTAATAGATTCAATACATGCTTAATTTAATCACTAAAACTACTGACATCTGAGTCATCATTTTCTTCATCTTGAACTATGGGTTTGGACGAAGATTCTGCATTGGGATCACTGTAAGTTATAATAATTCAAAATATTTACCAAGTTTAAATGATAAATTATTTCAAAATATCTTTATACAGGTAATATCTTAATTATGCAAAAGTGAATTTCCTCAAGTTCACAAATTAAACCATCGGCATATGTTTGGTGATTAGCTATATTACATCGGGTTTAGCGATGATTAAACCATCAATTTCATTTTTTTTAAGAAACAATTTTTTAATTTATGATATATGTTTAGAAAGATTCTTCAATGCTAATTAGGATATTATCTGTACCAGAAAATAGTCTCTCTTCAAGAAACTTACTCCAGAATATTTGGATCAACACCCTCTGTGATCATCTTTTGTTTCACTGCACCAACTGGTACCCCCTAAAAAAGATAAAAAGTTAATAAAAAATAAATTTTAAACAAATTAAATCAAATGTTAAATATTCCTACAAGATTTATCATCTTGAAATATTTAGAATATCTTGGATCCTGTGAAATAGTCATCTTTGGTTTTTCTGGCTCAATTGGATTTGAACTTTGTTCGTTGGAAGGAATTTGTTCAGTTGTGGCCGGTTGAGAAGGTTCTTCAATTGTTTGTTTCTCAGGTAATGGCTGTTGTACAGACTGGGCAGTGACATCATCTAATCCAGGAATTGATGCTAGCTACAAGTCCAACTTTTAAACAACATGTACTTCTTAAAATAAATCTGACTTTAACTTATCTATTATTATCCAAAAACATTTACCTTTGCTTCAAGTATACACATCGATGCCTCTAATCGTTGTATGCGAATGAGCAAATTTTCAAGTTTCTCATCACACACTGCTGCAAAATGGTTAAGGAAAGATGTGGTGCGAATCAGAAAATGATTCAGGAAAGCAAGTGTTCTTTTTTGATGAATTGGATCAACCTATAAAATAAATCTTTGATTTATCCATTGTAAAAATCAAATTAAAAAATTTTAATTGTAAATAATTATCAATCATAATTTACTCAAACTATTTATAACCTTCTAAAATTTCTGATAAGATTTGCAAAAGTATACTCATAAATAATTCTAATGTATTGCAGTGAGCCAAAAGTTGAGTGTATTTGCCAATAATTTCAGGAAAGCATGAGTACAATTATAAGTAATTGCCACTAGCATTTAAACAACTGTCCTCCTTAAGAATTAGTTTATGGATACTTGTAATGAAAAAATACTTGATTGTTCTTAAAAGACTATCTCTTGATGATGCATATCAAATCATCATCTGATGTAAAGTGCTTCAGAGATTCAAAGACAAGGCAGTCCTAGAGTGACACAACAGGAGAATAAGGTGAATGCTAGACCACCTACCTTATTCCCCTGATATGTCTCACCTTAGCCTTCTCCCAGCCAAATTTCCATAGTTTGTCCTGGATGATAATGCACACCTCCCAGATTACACTGTCATGCATGGGTTGAATTTCCCCAGTCATTTGGACTTTATGGCTGTTCAAATTTGATAGAGAATGACACAATATTGATTTCTATTTATAGATTTTGACTGCTCCACCACTCTTTACAATAAAAAACTGGATCACAGCTCAATCAGTTTTAGATAGGTATGTTATTGCATAGCCATCATTTCCTTCCTTTTTTCCACTTTTAGCCACACTAGTATTTTTATTTACAAAACCAACCAGAACCATCACTTTTATCAATATAAGATTTCTACATTTTTAGATTACAGTATATACTCATCTGAGGCACTAGCTAGAAGTAATAAACTATAAAATGGTTTAAGAGACCAACGCTTTCCTTCGGCCGCATTGTAGAAATTAGAATTGAATTATAGAAATCTACTCTTATACAAATTTTTCAGAAGTTACATGTAATTTAGGATTGAAAGTAAGTTCCATTTTAAATATTGGTATGTTAACAATTCAGTCATATCACATTAAGTTTCTCATCTTAACTGATTATTTTTATGAAAACAAATAATGTTTAATACAGAAGAACAATTTCAGTTAAAATACAAAATATTTTAATAATTCAATAGCCAAAATTTTGCAACTAGTAAATTTTTCAACTGGATTGAAAAATTCAACTGAAAACATATGTTAAATAAATAATACAGTAATTTTCTGCATATAGCATGTAGGTTATTTGTTTTTTAATCTGAAAGCAGGTGCAGACTATCCATTCTAGCAATTTTTACAGGTTTCAAACTAGAAATTATGGTAGTCTAAATTTGATCAATCCAAACAATTGAACATGACTATAAAACATTTTGTTAAATGTTTGTCTATGAGGACAGCTTTTTAATAGGACTGTATTGCACTGGTGTTTTGGTTTTTTAAACCAAGAAAAAAAATTTATTCAGAGGAACAATCAATCTTTATTTTCACCTTGTATTATACCTGTAAACAGATATTTGTATTAAGACTATAAACAAATTTTTGTTAGATTATCTGGATGATTTTATGACTCAAACCTTATATGATCACTTAAATGACATAAAATACTCTTGGAATTCCTAAAGTGCTTTTTTTATGTGTATTTTATTATTTGATTCAAAAACCCAAAAATAAACACACAAGTTTCTTAAATTTAATATATTATCTCAGCTTACACCTATTAATATCTACTTTGTGTGAAATTTGAGAGGAAGGTGTTATTTTTAAGGTCAAGGTAGATGGCCAGTGTAGCCTACTACTGCTACTACTATTACTACTGTCAATAAGTCCTTAATTGTTTTATTGTCTTGCAAATAAAAACTCTTCCTGATTTTAATTAGGAATCTGTCAAATTAGGAAGTTATTATTTTATTGTACTCTGAAGAATGTTTTCTTTAAATTAACATTTAATTAACAACTAGTTCTGTTAAATCTCATTAAACTGCAACTAAAATATAAAATTAATCAGCATAATGGTAACCCCAGGGTTTCTACTATGCTGGACTCCCCCATTTATATGTGACATGCTGGTCATTCCAGGAAAATATATAGGACAAATCAAAACAAATTAAGAGCGATTTTTCCCCAATGAAAATATAGTCTGGATATATAACTGTAAAGAATGATTTTAATGATCTGTCTAAAATACCACAGAAATATGAGGCTTCTTACATATGACAAAATGGAGGATGATCATGATAAGCAGTATGCAGTATTAAAATTCTATTTTCACTTGAAAAAAAAGTAAATAAAAATAATAATAATAATAAATAAACAGCAATGAAAGCTTGAAACATTAAAGCAAGTGTAAAGTGAAGCAGTTCTTCTGTTATCCACAGCAATTTAATGATTCAAGGCAGTCTTCTGAAGACCAGAAATCACCCTTCAGGCAGACAGGTCTATAAACTCCGAATGTTTTGACTAAAGAACTCATTATCACTGCTAGCAATGCCATCAAGAATTTCACCAGGTTATCATTAATGAACTTGTCAATTTGCTGAATGTCTTTCAAGGGAGTATGTCCATACAATTTTGCATAACCATTTGCACATAAAATACATTTATTCTTGATAGGCTCTCTGGCTTCTGATAACTGAATGGACATATAAGTGGATTAGCTGTTACCTGTGACTTCGCCAGCACAGGTAACAGCTAGCAAACACCATTTAATTCAACAACCATAGTAATTGTTATATAACATCTACCGCTAAGAATGATGAGAATTGCTGAGAATCAGACGAGCCATTTACAATTTGACAATTTTCTGGAACGTTTACAATCGTTCTATAATCGAACCAATATGCAATAACAAATTCAAATTGGTTCAAACATATGGTTAAAAAATCAAAATATATAAAAATATTTATAACAATATCTGAAATGTTATCAATTTAATACACCCAAGTACTCAATGAAGACTAAATGTAGTAAAAACAAAAAAATTGCATCTAAAATAGCATAATAGAAGCCGTTCTCCAGGTTAAGCCTTAATGCTCTACTTCTCCCCTGCAGGGGAATTTTGAAACATCCCTTCTTAGTGTGCGTTTTCATGATGTAGCCTAACTGTGTACCAAATTTCACCTCTTTAGGTTCAGCTGTTTGCTCTGGGCAATGATGAATCAATCATTCACTCAGTCAGTCAGAACAAGTAATTTTATATATTTAGATAAAAGTCTGCAAAGACTTTTAATGTCTTGGTTGTTAATCTACGTGTTGCACTTTTGTATCAATTATCACTAGTAATGAAATTTGGCTATAACATTTGGATCCTGAGAGTAAATAGGCCAGCACAGGATGGAAATCATCTCCTACTCCTCCAAAGAAGGTAACTGGCAAGGGAATGGTGATTACCCAAGAACCGGATTTTTAGGTGCTAAAAAGTGCACTTTAGATGGATATTATATGCTATAAAAACCTCAAAATATGCATTTCCTTTTCTACCACATATTTTCCATCACCTCATCATGATTCATGAGTTTTTCATATATATATGTATATATATAAAATCAGTATATATATAATATATATACTGATTTTTTGGCTACTCTGTTTATTCCATGGACTAAACATCACATGCAGAAATTTAGGAAACATTATGCTCAAATTCTGTTCTGTCCTGCTTTGACCATATATGCTGCTTAATCCGAAAACAGCAGAGGCGTAGCTACTGTGGAGCAGTTGGAGCAAACTGCTCCAGGCGCACGAATCACGAGGCGCCAAGTTATAAAGGGGTAACTAAAAACTTGTAAAAACATTTGTAAAAAAATTTTTGGATGTAATAATTAATCAATTAACTATTAGATTTGAATACATTCGACAATTATGTACATTTTCCAAGTGCTTTTCACCTGCATATGTTGTTGCATTATCTGATAAAAATATTCTGGAACAATCAGAATTGTTACACTCGGCATATTCGCCTAGTTTTGGACCTCAACTGCTTTGATTTAAAATGCGTTTTTATAGTCAGGTAAAAGAAATTACTTCTATAAGCGAAGTTGCTAAACTACTTTTATTTCACACCGTAGTCTCAAATAGATTCTCCAACATTATTACAGCATGCCTCATTTTTTAACTTTACAGGCGATGACAAAGAAGTTTTTCAAAACTAAAATTAATCAAAGCTTATAGTTACAATTTTTGTGATAACTCAGGATTTATTTTCTTCATAATTTGAAGTTTAGACTATGTACAAAAAGTCAAAAAACTTTTGAGTCCTTCTTTATCCTTTATACACCACCATAGAAGTAACAGCTTAAAAAAATGCTTTGAAGAACTCTTCTTAAACACTGATAAAAATTGGTAAAAAATTCCACAAGGTTAAAAAAGATCAAGTGTCAGCCTTTCATTGTAGGTTTCTGACACTTTTACAATTAAAAACACAAAGAAATTCTTCACACTATCATTTTTATCCAACTTTTTAAACAGCTTCTAGCCCTCTAGTGGTAGTGTATAAGGGATAAAGATGGACTCAAAAGTTATTTTAGACTTTTTGTACATAGTCCAAACTTCAAATTATGAAGAAAATACATCCTGAGTAATCACAAAGATTGTAACTATCTGCAAATAATGTTAGATACTCGTTACTACCACTAGAGGGCTAGAAGCTGTTTAAAAAGTTGGATAAAAATGATAGTGTGAAGAA